GAACCGCACCAGCCTGGGTCAACCAACGCACTGGTTCAAAAGTCTGAAACAGTATTACTACAGGGAACGCTGGGAGCTGTATGACTGCAGGTTGGTCAGAGCTGCTTGTTTTTCTCTCTTTCTTCTATTTTTGTCAGCACAGCAGAAGGTTCACTGTGTGTCAATTGAAGATTTTTTTGATAAAATACAGTTAAGGGGGTTAATTATATCTTCTAAAATGGATCAAACAGAGCAGTCGTGGTGGATTTACTCCCTAGTGTTTGGGGGGAGTGATGTTTAATGCTTATTCTCAGTTTGAAAGAAGTTTTTGACAAAATGTTACTATTGTATATAAGATTACAATTTTATATTTGGCAAATTGCTAAGCAAAGAACACACTCAATACAATATCCATTTTACTCTCAAAAGAGGTCTGTGACAAATCAAAACCAATCAAAGCAAGGTTTAATACAGGTTTATTACTGCACAAAACGTATGAGAAGACAAGTCCATCATTATGTTTGAATTTTCATGCTATTCAAATGCTCCATCACTAAAGGGCAGACCCTCTGGAAATAAAGAACCTGGCATCAGACCCGTCCTACGGGGATGTGATGAAGAGATTACGACAGAGTCTGCAGCAGTGGCAGTGGGAGACAAGAGACCCTTGGGTATGTGCACCAGACTATCTCCTGGAGTATACACCAGAGCCTCACTGCACTCCACTATTTAATGGACTCTGATCAAGTCGTATGGTTCTTTCAATCATCTAGATTGACATGATGTTCACTTACATAAAGCTGGTTATGGAATAATGTTCCTTTATTTCCCTGTTTTTACTAGATTTAATTTTCAGAAGGCCTTCTCCTTAAATCAACAATGTGGCCATGGTAATTTCATATAGGTTTCCTTTGTCTGTGCTCATTTTAGTGGTATTTTAAAAAATTGTTATAAATCCTGTCTTAAATTATAAAGGGTAAATTAATCCTCATTTTGTTGTTTTTACTGGTCTGCATGACCTGAGCTCTGTTACCGTCACCCAATCAAAGGGGCAGTAACTGATTGATGCCTGAGCTCCACTTCAAATGTAGTTGACGTCAGTCAGTTACCTGTCCATGGTTATTGATTTTTTTTTTAAGCCACATAGTGTAGTCCGTATTCTGTCTTTTTGCCTAATGCCCTGTTGTGAGGTTTGTTATACACGTGTCACTTATTGGTGTCCACTCTTCTCTCTCACACACACACACACACACACACACACACACACTGTCCTCCGCATACACGCAGCAACACAAACGCAGAGCCATGACAAACGGATCTGTTGTGATTGCTCTTTCCCCTCTTCTGCATTAAGACGGGTCATCATCCGCCCACTTCGCTTTTGATTTGACGACCGTCTGAGGTCACGACGACGTCTGCGAGTTGACCTATATAAACCCTGAAAAGTTTCTGAAGCCTCCACTCCTCTCCGTCGCTTTGCTTCAGCTGTGCGTCAGAGCCGTTTAGACATGGAGAGGTCCGTTCGGTTTGCCGTTGTGTGCGTCGGCCTTTTTCTGCTCATTTCCTGCCATCCCATCGAAGCCTGGTACAAGCAGTCGACCGGACCAAGTTACTACTCGGTGGGTCGCGCCTCCGGTTTGCTGTCCGGAATACGAAGGTCGCCGTTCATCCGAAGGTCCGAGTCTGAGGAGGCAGTGATGGACAGTGGAAAGGCTGCGGGCAACAACAATGTTCCTGCAGAAATCAGCGAGCAGATATCGGTCCTTAAGAACATGGTGAGTACAGTTATGGTTATTGGGTTGTTTAATTCCTGACATGTGAATCAACAGCTGCGGCTAAAGTACGTGTGAGTATCGTCACAGGGAGGTGTAAAACAGAACAGTGGAACTCATTCATTTCAAATCTTAAACTGTTTAGTTTTAAAAAATGTAAAATTAATTTAAATTTTAACTCGTGCGTCAAGGCGCAGACTTTTATTACATTTATTAAACAGATTATATTGAACTGTGTAGTTCGTATGATATAAATCCCTATCTCTGTCCTTACTTCTGTTCTTTCAGGCCATCTGCGTCAAGGACATATCTCCAAACCTGAAAAGCTGTGAGCTGCTCCAGGACGGAACGGGCACCTTCCACTGTACGGCGAACGTCTTCCTCACTCTGGACTCACTGGACTGTCTGTCCGCATGAACTGCGGTCAGAACCTTCGGAGCGGGTCCGCGTCCGCCACCGTGCCCTGGGAGCTCCTCTTCGGAAACTGACTGTCAGGGGATGAGTGCGTTTTGGGGGATGGCGCAGAGTAAAATCTAATCGATGAATGTTTGGTTTGTTTTTGTTTTCATCTGAAAACAATGTTATTGTACTTTTCTGACATGAAATACATAATACTAAGGTAGAAGAAGTGTGGAGAGTATTTCTATGCATTTTTATTTATTATATTGATTAAAATGTACACTGAAAACATGCTGCGGCTCACATGTGTGTTTTTAAAGCAACTTAAAAAGCACAAAACGCTATCCAGTGTAACCGTGTGTAAAATGGCTAAATACGTCATATATAGCTTTCTGTTAGGTGTGTTTGGGTAAAAGAAAAGCTATACATAAAATTATAATTATATATAAATACAAATATATATATATATATATTACTGCAATACATATATGGCATAAAAACTAACATTTTGCACTAAGTTGAAAACGAGAGCGTTGAAATGCACATTAACTGAAATTCAACATTTTATTAACAGATCAGAGCGAATTTCTAATCAAAACCTACGCGGCGTCTGTCTTTTATTCACCTTTAGCTTCAAACACTATCTTCCATTAACATGTCTGCCTAGTTTATTGCTGCAATCAACGAGCCTGGATGATAGTAGTCATATCCTCAGGGTGGCCTTTCAGCACTTAAACCCCAACAGCGTCAACGTCACATAAACCAAACGCAGGACGCACCGTCCCCGAAGAACCAACGTGCGTGTGTGTGTGTGTGACAAGGTCGTGATCGAGTTTTCCAATAATTATCGCAGGTAAGAATACATAAATGAAAAAGAAGTTGTGAGGCCACAGGGAAATGCTACTATTGTTCCTTGATGTTCAATTTGTTTTGTGTTTTTTCAAAAACACTCAGTATTCTGCACTAATATTGCTGAAAATTTGCATATTTGTTTAAACACTCAATATTCAGACAATGACTCATAATATCCTTGATGTGTTCAAAGTCAAATTACAATACAAAGTTATAAACATTTCCCCTTAAAAAACAGCAATACTGAAAGAAAATTAATCACTTCTGTCTAAAATTTTTTATTATGAAATATTTACGTATATGTGTTTACTATATTAGTGGTGAAATACATGTATCTGTATTTTGTTATGAATTTTTAGGTCTCTGGCGTGCCACCTTAAAAAATCTTTAAGGTGGTCCGTTCTTTAATAAGGAACGGACTGCGGTCCTGTTCACTAAGGCTTTTGTTTTGATGTCTCTACCTTTTATTACATAATATAATATATTAGTGATACATATTAGTTAGCTTGATTAAGCTAACTTTTATTTATTGACGTAGCTTTTTCTTTTTACTATATATATATATATATATATATATATATTTATAGATAGATAGATAGATAGATAGATAGATAGATAGATAGATAGATAGATAGATAGACTGAAAACATGCTGCGGCTCACATGTGTGTTTTTAAAGCAACTTAAAAAGCACAAAACGCTATCCAGTGTAACCGTGTGTAAAATGGCTAAATACGTCATATATAGCTTTCTGTTAGGTGTGTTTGGGTAAAAGAAAAGCTATACATAAAATTATAATTATATATAAATACAAATATATATATATATATTACTGCAATACATATATGGCATAAAAACTAACATTTTGCACTAAGTTGAAAACGAGAGCGTTGAAATGCACATTAACTGAAATTCAACATTTTATTAACAGATCAGAGCGAATTTCTAATCAAAACCTACGCGGCGTCTGTCTTTTATTCACCTTTAGCTTCAAACACTATCTTCCATTAACATGTCTGCCTAGTTTATTGCTGCAATCAACGAGCCTGGATGATAGTAGTCATATCCTCAGGGTGGCCTTTCAGCACTTAAACCCCAACAGCGTCAACGTCACATAAACCAAACGCAGGACGCACCGTCCCCGAAGAACCAACGTGCGTGTGTGTGTGTGTGACAAGGTCGTGATCGAGTTTTCCAATAATTATCGCAGGTAAGAATACATAAATGAAAAAGAAGTTGTGAGGCCACAGGGAAATGCTACTATTGTTCCTTGATGTTCAATTTGTTTTGTGTTTTTTCAAAAACACTCAGTATTCTGCACTAATATTGCTGAAAATTTGCATATTTGTTTAAACACTCAATATTCAGACAATGACTCATAATATCCTTGATGTGTTCAAAGTCAAATTACAATACAAAGTTATAAACATTTCCCCTTAAAAAACAGCAATACTGAAAGAAAATTAATCACTTCTGTCTAAAATTTTTTATTATGAAATATTTACGTATATGTGTTTACTATATTAGTGGTGAAATACATGTATCTGTATTTTGTTATGAATTTTTAGGTCTCTGGCGTGCCACCTTAAAAAATCTTTAAGGTGGTCCGTTCTTTAATAAGGAACGGACTGCGGTCCTGTTCACTAAGGCTTTTGTTTTGATGTCTCTACCTTTTATTACATAATATAATATATTAGTGATACATATTAGTTAGCTTGATTAAGCTAACTTTTATTTATTGACGTAGCTTTTTCTTTTTACTATATATATATATATATATATATATATATTTATAGATAGATAGATAGATAGATAGATAGATAGATAGATAGATAGATAGATAGATAGATAGATAGATATTTTTTGTTTTTTTCCAAGGTACTGTTTTTGTTTTTCATGATTCTAACTAGCGCCGTACGACATAAAATGATGTATAGCTGCACTGGATATATTTCATTTAAATTAAAAACTTGAGTTCCAACGAATGCTGGAATCGTTGCACCCGTGGTATCAACCGTTAGCAATCCACAACCACATTTCTCTCTTCATTCCTCTCTTTGATTCATTCCTGTTGGCACCACAATTCAACAGTTTGAGGCCACCTCCAGTGTTCCTGACCTTTCTATCCAGTGTTCTCAACACACAAACAGTACCTTTTTCAGCCTTTTGGCCAGCGTTTTTCTCAGCTCTCTGCCTTCACTTGTCACTGCACCTAAGTCTAACATTTCCCCCATGACCTCTACACTCCCGCCTTACCTATTCATCTTCTTTCCTCTCCCTTTTTAATATTTGTCTTGTCTGTAGTATTTGGCCTTGGAGAGTGTCTGCTAGTACAGTTTTTCTGCCTCTTTGCTTCTCCTCCTCCTGTACTTATCTCCACCCCAGTTAGGAATTCCCTCTTACTAAATAACAGTCTCCTTTCATGACTTCCTCTATGTAGCTTGATTGTTAATTCTCCTCTTGTAAGTAGCGTAAATGTAAATGAATATCCACCAGGAACCTGTTGGTCATTAGCTGTTGTCTTTAACCATAATTCATTTCCATACCATCAAAGCCCAACAACAGGTTTTGGGACGTCTGATGTTGTGTTTAAGGGGGCAGTCCTCACCCTGTACGATATCAACCAGTCTACAGTCCCTCACAATCTATTTAACATTTAGGTCAGTCACTTTGTTAGCCATAGACTTACCTGAAGCTGAGATGGTGTTTCAGCTCCTTCAGTGTCTGAGAATAATAACCTGTGCATTGACTGGGTATAAGAGCAACAACAAGTGAGAGTGGAATAGAATTATTGGATATACGTGTCGTTTGTTCTGCCCAAGCATTAAAATTCTTCAACACCTGTAGATTTTATGTATGTATTTATATATATGTTTTTTCCATTTTGTAGTTCTGTTACTTATGAATCATTTCGTTGTCTCCTGAGATCACAGCCACAAACACTGCATTTATCTATGGGATTAAAAGATATAGATCAGATCAATTCCTCCTGTGGACACACTGAAAGACAGTGAATGTAAATCAGGACAACACTATTTATTATTATTTACCCCAGAAAGTAAATGAGGCGATACACGTGTATGATCCTGTGGATTTTCTTTTTCAGACATTCTAGAATACTGTATGTGAGGAGAGTGTAAACATCAGCAGCTGTGTGTGTTACCAACACAGGTTGGATCAATAACCTGGCCTATCACAAATCAGTGTGGGAACCACTCATCATTGTTGTCCTTTAATTAGTTGCTCCTGTAAAAGAGCTCCACAAACACAGCTCCAATATTCTCTGGTTTTCTATGTCTATACCATGTTCAAACCAATACCCATGAACCAGTGGTAACTGTGTTTAATGACATGACATGTTGTACATAAACAAGGTTTTAGATCATTTTTATTTAGAGATGTCGACAAGTCCTCGCCTATGAGAAACAAATCAAAACGATACACCCGTCAGACCGGTGAAAAACACAGACATCATACGGTTGTCTTTATGGAGAGAAATGATCCCAAAAGTGTGCATGCAGCTGACATTAACATCACCGTGCCATGATTGAAACTGAACTTGAGAGCAACCTAAATGAAAAATGTGGAACTAATGGCATAAGCTTATTACATGGCTGCTGTAATGTGATCATTAACTGAACGCAGGAATGGAAAATCACAGTAAAAGGAAATTGTCACTTCCCCAAAAGCAAAGTTGTCATTACAACTTACTGTTTAATTACATGACAGACAGATGACTGTGAGACCAAAGGCCGAGGCTGCCGCCTGTGTGAATGTAATAACATTAGCTTAATTAGTGTTATTTTTGTTTCATTGTGTCAATTAAAAGAAACGGAGGACGACAGAGAGATTCTTTCCTTTCTCTTCCATTAACATCTATCTGATGAACAGCTGGACTAAACTGTTGTTACGATCCTTTCTGGACTCATTCTGTGGTTCACTATTTTTTAAAAAGGAAATGTCAGTGTAAGTTTTGAGATAATTGATAACTGAATTATCCAAGCTGTTATTTGCCTTAAAAATATAAGTGGAGGAAATTGGAGTTTTTTTTTTTTTTTTTGATGCAGGTCATTGTCTCTGGAACAATTATAAATAGATTTTTAAAAAATCAATAGAAATTGATTAATTAAAATTAAAATGTCAATATAAACACAAACGTACGTAAACACTGTTGGTGCACAATTGTACCAACTGTTAGTTTGCTGTTATTTCTACGTGATAAACTGTGAGCACGACATAGGCCTACTTAGTATAATTGAATAACCAGCTCATGATTATTTAAATTAAATGCTTGATTTAATAAAAATAAATGTAAAGAGGGAGTGATTTAGGTAGCCTACAGCGCCCCCTGGAACAGAATAGATGCCACATTTGGTTTGTGTTTTTTTGGGCGGGGGTTTGGGAGGTGGTTGACACCACATTGTTTGGTAATAAAATCAAACCCTGGGTGTATGCATACACACACACACACTCACAGGCCAATTTAGTAAACTGATAAAGGTAGATTTGTTGTGAGGGCAGGGAGACAGGACCAGTCCTCCTCTGGCCAAATGGATCTAATAGGATTCATAAAGGGAGTTCACTTTTATTTTTTTAAAGGGCTGTAAAAGTTAGCCACGTATTTGTGTCATTTTAATGATGCAAAAACACTTACAAGTAAGCTGCCTCTGACAAAACTCAGTTAGATATGCCACACATTGTATCTTACTGATGTCACCACCTGTCACACTGACTTTCTCTACTGTGTTTATATGATAAGCAAAGATCTGATAAAAATGTAAAGAGGTGGAATTCATTCATCTGAGATGAATGCTCTCTGCCTTTTCACTGACAGTGTTTAGCCACTGACTGTACATAATGTACGTGTGCAGTCAATCAGTGAGGACGAAGCCACTCGATAGCTGCACATTGAGTTTGGCCACTCCTGTCGTCCACAGTGATGTCATGTTGCTCCGTCACACAGTTTGTAGACAGATGAAGGTAGATTAGATCCTCAGAACCTAACTTTCATTTAGAAATACAATAAATGGTATTTACCCAGAAACAGGAACTGCGCTCTTTCCGTCTGTGTGTCTTTTCTTTCTTTCTTTTCTCTCTCTCTCACACACACACACTTGGGATTTCTTGGAACGTCTTATGATGCTGCATAAAATAAATGACTTTTATAGGAGGAGTTTTTCCAGTGTGTCTTTGTATGTGCTGTGTTTTTATTTGCGTCTTTGTGTATTGGTGTGTGTGTGTTGTGTGTGTGGACTGAAGCTGATGATGATGTACAGCAGTTCTCAGTGGGAACCCCTGATCATGTCTGTAGAGATAACCCTGAAGGAAAGGCCTGTTGCTGGGATAGAAGATGAGAACAGGCAACCTCCTGCTGGGTCCCTGCTCTAAGAGCTTCTGTGCTACACTGCTGAACACCTACATGTAGAACCTTATATTTACCTCCTTCTTTGGAGCCTCACTCACTTCAGTCTGTTGACACTGAAATCGATGCCTATAGTCCTTAGATTTATAACTTAGACTTAGAACTTTAACAATAGGTTTGATAAAAAAAATATGATCTTAGTGAAAAATATTTTTATATTAACATTACAGCAGTTTTAAATGTTTTATTTTCAGAACAGGAGCAATCAAGGTCATATGTCTATCTGTTCGTCCGTCCATCCATCCATCCATCCATCCTTCCATCCATGGCTTATATGCGCACAGATAAAAAACCAGCTTTGTACACTTGCTTACAAAATTTCAGCCACATCTTCACCTCCTGACTGGCAGGAATAAAAGGTTGTTGTATGCAAAGATCAAATGTTTTCCAGCTGAAGTCTGGCTGCCCACAGGACAGATCAAATAGAGAATTAGGTCGGGAGTAATTGTGTCTTCAAGCAGAGACATGCATACTGATACTTATCTACTGTGCAACCACTGGAGAGGAGTCTGAGGATTCTATATTACATCAGCATGGCAACCACTCTTAGAGTCACCTAAAAGTATTTGTGTTTTCTTGTTTTTTTGTTCACTCGACATTTTATTAATTGATAAGAAAAACAGTTTTGTAAGTGTTTGTGTGTGTGTGTGTCTGTGTGTGTGTCCTTTAGAGTCTTTGATTGATTTGTCAAGACAGCCAGCACATGCTTAAGCATCAGCAGGCTGATCCAACTAATTAGACCCCTGCCTGTCCTCAGCCCAGCGTGAGTGGACTGTTTTAAGATTACCCACTGCAACATTGAGTCATTAAGTTCGTACATGCTCGTACAAAAAGGACCAGTTAAATAAACCCCACCTGGTCATCAACACAGTGACCACACTGCAATGAGAGACAGAGGCCGATACTGTATGTGTGTCTTTATGATCAAGCACATGAAGAGATTTAGAAGCCAGTGCATATGAAACAAGTTTATAAGGCTGGACTTTGTAATATGTACTTATACCCCACTGAATAGACCCTTGGATAACATTTTTATTTAGATGCTTAATTTGTAATAAAAAAATAGGTCAACCTTACTTAAAGATCATCCTTCATTTTCATTTCATATGTTAACTTCTCCATCTCCAGTGTATCGTCTATAATTGTCAGCCATTGTTTATGACGTAGCACTGATCTCCAACATGTAAGGTTTCTTCCAGATGTTCAGATACAGAACTGGAGTTTTTCATGTAGGGTGGATTACCAGTTTGGATTTTTCCAACGTGCATATTTAATTTCATCCATCTCTCTTTTCCCAATTAATCTTAACATTTAGTGTTGACTGTGTCTTAGACTTGGGTAAATTATGATACAAAATGTACAGGTCTTTATGTGTTGTTGTGCCTTATTTGTACGTATCCCAAATATATTACATGTATTTTGAAATTCTTGTATACTTTTTTATTTTATTCTTTTGAACATCTATGTATATGGCTGTTATTATATTCTTTTCCACCTTCTTCGATCTGAGGACATTTTTTTTCTGTAGACCATTGGAGACCACCCCCCAACCCAGGTGTATCTCGAACCATGCTTGATCCAATTTGTAAAGCTGATCTTTTGGTTTCTTTAGAGGAAGAGTTGAAAGCGATAAAACAAACTAAAACCATGCAAACGTCACGTCTTTTTGGTTTGTCCAGGGCACCTTGGCCAGCACCGATCAATTGCTTCCCTCTAGTGGCTACCTGTCTACAGTGCAATAATTTCTTGAAGTACAAGACACCACACAATTTTCGAGACATTTGAAATACAGATGAGCTACATTATTTTTACGGTTAGCAGTAAAAACAATGTGCGGTTTGGGGTGCAGTTTGTTTTGTCCCAGACTGTGAGTACCGGGCAAGCAATGTAAATAAATGCCATAAGGAGGGCAATGAAAAAAAAAAGGTTCTGCATTTTGTGTC